AATTAAATCTAGAAAATCGCGTTCCAGCTTCTTAGGTTTTATTGTGGGTCGTTTTCCTGTCGAGAGTTTTAAATATATTTTTAAAGGAATCTTTTCTGTGGGTTTGCTGTTAAGCAATTTGAAAGGAACGTGATTGTTGCTGATCCTTTTCTCGAAACGTCCAACAGAAATTGAAATGTATACCAAAATGTCTTTTGTTTTTCAAATTTATTCTTTCTTTCTTCCTTTGTTCTTTTATCTATTTAATTAGCTATTTATTTTATTTCTTAAAACAGCGTTGTTCCACCCGTTCAATTTTCTTTTTACAAATTAAAAACAAATACGACTTTGAGAATAGCTAGTTTTGTATCGCCACTTTTAGCCAAAGTTTACGTATCACTGGCATGAAGCAATTGTTTTAGTAGGTTGATAGTGACGTTAAAACTACATCATTTCACATTTTCACAATTCTTTCACGTCTGTTTGCAAAAAACTTATTTGAAGTTTGAAGAATATTCTTGTAGCCAGAAATTCAATTTTGACTTACAGGCACATTTATTGTTTGTTTGTTTGTTTGTGTGTTTGTTCGTTTGTTTGTGGTTTTTATACTGGAAATGGATTTTTTTAGTTTATTTGAAAAAAAAAACCCCGTTTCAAAATGTGAAAAGACAACTTTTATTGCCACATGCTTATATAATAGAGTGGTGACCCAAGGAGCAAATCGTAACCGTGATATTTATTGCAACAAAAACAGGGGCGGTAAGGTGCCAAAGGTGTCATTTGTTTGAGATGTGACACGATTGCTTCCCTTGATCTGTCGTTTTTCTGAGATGACCCAAAAAAACCAACCCCACACACACCCACACCGTTTTAATTAATCACCCTGGCGTGCGATAAAACACACAACGACCCTTTAGTTTTTCTGACTTTTATTACAGAGGTATACATGCCATATTGTTGCCAGTCAGGGACTATCCTTCGTCAGGATGTATGTGTTCTCAAGTTTCTTCATAAATAAAAATTAACCTAGTGAAGTCCAAAAGCATAGACGTAACCATGTTTTTGAAGATCAGCACAGAAAAATAATACGTTTGAAAATATAAAAAAATATTCACAAAAGGCATACTGTTTACTCTCTTAACTATAAACACAAAGCAGTGCAGTGATCACAATGACTTTAAAATGTATTTTGTAAGATCGTTGTTTTAAACAGTGGAAATAAAGACTCTTAGAATGGGATTTCCTGATTAAGGGCTGCTTCTCGAAAAGACTGAAATGTGACTTAAACGTGACTTAAACCTTCTATCGTGCTAACCCCTTCAACATTTCAAACTCCACAACGAAATCCCATCATAGTAGACGTGAGAAAGTAAGCTACATTTGTACATGGGCAAGGGGGGGGGGGGGGTGACTGATAACAAGTTAACAGTAATTTTAAAGGCATGTCAGAGATTTTCTGCTGATTTATCCATGTAAAGAAGGTGCGTGAGAGAGTATGTGTACATGGGTGTGTGAGCACGCACGAGCATACACGTGTGTGTTTGTTTATGTGTGTGTATGTGTGTGTATGTGTATGTGTGTGTATGTGTGTGTGTGTATGTGTGTGTTTGGGTGTGTGTGTGTGTGTGTGTGTGTGTGTGTGTGAGTGTGGGAGA